TGTGTGATGCCCGCACACGCATTCGAAAATTCGCTCTTATGGGTGACTTGAGGGAAGGAAGCCAGTGCTTGCCATTTCTCCTGTTTCTTGGTTTCGACCTAGGGAGTCAGTCGATTGACACTCAGTTCAAATAATCACACTACTTGCTTGTCGTTAGCTTCGGATAAGTGCGCACTCATTCACTAAGAGCGCAGCAATGCTCGGAACTGCCATAATCACCTTCTTTCTAATGCCTTGATTCTTTCCACTTGTTGAGAGACAAAACACAGCCGTCATTGGGGACTCGTAGTCTTCGCATTTTCAAGCATTCCAGGCACCAAAGTTCACAGAGTGACAAGTCTCCACTATTCGATTGAATCTGAGTATCTCTTTTCATCTCCTGCAATCCGATCTACGAAAATAATCTCCAGAATGATGTTAAGTGCTTCAATGAGGATGTTGCGATAGAGGTCGCCTGGTCAAAGGTATCCTCCAAAATGTAAATTGAGCAGACGGTCCGACTTGTGTAGATTGGCAGGACCTCTGACAGAGGGGCATCTATCTCAAAGCGAAAGTGTCGATTCCGAATCCATAATGCTGCCGACGAATTGCTGGATCTCTTTCGACAGGCATTGACGATACATTCATTGGTCTTTTGCTGGAGTCAGTCTCTTAATTCTTGCTTCTGACTCCTGTCACCTGTCATCGCTATGTTTCCATGTGGCAGCTGATGTTATTGCGCTGGTTATTTGCGTGTTGCTCAGCTTTGCTGTTGGCAAGCTCGCGAGTAAAGTGTTGCTGATCGAAACAATGACATCAACATGCCAAAGACAAGAATCCAACAAATATGTGACGGCATAGCCAGGGTTTGGGCCGTTGATGATTCGTGCTGGTTATATTGCCTATCGAAACAGAGAAATATGAATCAATTCTACAAGGGCTAGTGTCGATGAACACACTTGTCATTGCTGAGACGCAGAGTCAAGAGATCATATCGAGAGTCGAGTCTATGAAGAGAGTTTCCAGCGACAACGAGACCGCCTGATACTAACCGCAGTAGGTTCGATGGCAGACCTCGATCCGCGAATAATGCCAATATATTATTCCTACCGTATCTATTCCATATTAGCCACTTCTAAAAATCATCATATTATTTAACTCAACAAAATTAGCAGCTCTTTCAAAAAACGAAGGACCCCGGAGAAAGCGTCCTCTGGTTGTATCGTGTGTAATTGACGGATTTGTTGGGTTTGGTGCAATAACCGTTCTCGAGTGCATCCTTGTTTGAAGATTTGTTCTCGCTCGTCAACATAAATATTGCCTCATACAACAAGCTCATTCATCATAGTCGCTCTCGAAATCGCAGTCAAGATCGGCCATCACTTGCTTGCAGTTCAGAATCAACCCTGAAAGGCGAGCAGCATTGTCCAACTGAAGTTCACTAGCTCGTCGTTCGCAAAGCAACGACCCTCTCCGTTGACTGACCCCAGACGACGCCCTTGATTTTTGGCTGATGGAAGATCCTCTTCTCACAAGAGACCTGCTTCTTGTCGTCAAAGTTTTCTTGTGTGCCTCTATAGGAGATTCCACGATTTTAAGAGCCCCAGAAATGATGGAATCTTGCGAAATGTCGAGAGGAGCTGCTACTTGACTCATTATTTGGGGGCCCACAACCCTGACGCTGGTTCTTTGAGAACTCTGATTCTTCATCATTCCACTTCTCTTCTTGGTTTTAGCATCACTAATTTTTGTCTTGGCTGTAGATACGTTCATCTTGTTTGATTGTTTGTTTGTTTGCTTGTTTGTTTGCTTGTTTGGAGAAGTTATACTGCCAGATAAATTTTATTGCCGTTGCAAACTTGTTGGGCGCATTCGACAAATAAGGGAAAATTTACTGTGACCAAAGGTTTCTGTCACACCAGTGTCAGTTTCGGTGAAACGATGATTGAGTTTCGAGCGATTTCAACCCAATTTCAATTGGCACAGGTACCAGTGTACAGGTTAACGACCGTAGTACATGTGTGGCCAGCGAAGTCGCTAAGAAAGAAGAGAATCAATTCGTGATACCATAGTAATAGTGAAAAAACAATCTATCATGCTGCTGACTCACTCACTCCTGCGCGCATTTGTTCTACAAAACCGCTTAGAGCGATGTACCAACTTGAAGCAGCTTGATCCTCACCCCAATCCCTTGCACTGCAGCAGTAGCCCTCAGCAACCAGCAACAAAGGGTAAGTCTCTTCCCCAGACGATTATGCACGGAGCAAAAACGCGAAAAAAAATAAGCACTACTTGTCGCTTCGATTCATTCTATCGTTTTCCTGCTGATCTCTCTTTGCTTTAAAAAAATTGCATTGGCACCGCATCCTCCTACGGCCTAATGTCCTGAGGGGTATTTTTGAGAAAGGGATGTGCGAAGTGCACGAACATACAGTAGCTCCGCAATTCCTTCAACTTGTCACTGGCACTGACGTAATAATGTTTCTCCGAATGTCACCTATGATATATGTGTTTGAACGAATGACCGATTGATCTGACTGCTTTTCGATTCCCTGTCGTTGTGTCGGAATACTGTACTGTAGCATTTCTTTTTAAAAAAAATGCGCATTCAATCCAACCATGGGCTAGTATGAACTGCATGATTTAATTTTGCAAAATGTCATCGCTTTACGATCATTTTGCTGATGAAGATCATAGACTTCATTATATGTCCTCGTCGAGGCAAAGACGCCAAGGGCAACAATAGTAATGGTGGTGGCCAAGGCAGCATGGTGCGTCCCTATGTTGTATAGCGTCTCGGATAGAACTGTGCGCAATTCTGGAAGTAAATATTAGTTCCAAAGTAATGCTTCAAATCGGTTTGCGCATTTCAGTCGGCATCACTATGATCGAACACCCAAATCCGCTCTTGGTGTTCTAACCATGGGCCAAGACGGAGCTAAAACATGATTACTGTGTTATGGAACATTCTCATTTCATACAAATTTCATATTGCTTTACTAGTCCTATAGCCGTTGCTGTACATTGTAAAAAGTCTTTTGGATAAGACACTGGAGTGTAGGTACTATTCAGGAAATGCTTCCAGATCTCGTCCTTTCTCGTCTGATGACGATGCCTGACTCAGGTTTTAGCGTGCCACGTCTGACGCATTTGGATCGTCAACGACTGCAACAGTTTATTTCAGGACAAGACGTGATACTGGGAGAGGAGTGCGTTAACAGCTCTGTTCCCGTTCACCTCATACTTCTAGGTCACTGTCATCGTAGCCACAGTCAGTCGTCGTTAAATGTGATACGACTATTACGCTTTTGCATCATCTCTGATAGGCGACCGCTGCTGTCGAGTAGTAGCTCGTTGGCTTGTTTTCCAGTAAGCAAGGACCCTCTTCGTCTCGTAACACGAGGTTTGGAGCTAGGCTGAGGAGAATTAATGATCGCAAGAGCTCCATCAATCAATGATTCATTCGAAGAGTTGGCAATCTTCGAAATTCTTGGAATCCGCGTTGGATGTCTGAAGTTGTTTTTTCTCACAGGAAGTTGTTGTGTGATGTACTTAGGGGTAGTGAACTTATTGTCCATGCTGCCGCGTATGCTGCCGCGTCTGGTGAAAGTGTTCATATTGGTGGAAGGCATGTTTGACAGATATTTTCTTTGTCTCTTGTTTTGCTGTGAAAATGGATTTTGTGAGCCATTCCTGTTTTTTTGGCTTTTTTATTTACTGTACCGGTATAATGTGTCGACAACAGAATGACGAATGACTGACTCACTCACTCGTCGGTTCTGCGCGCGCTTTTGGCTTCCGAGACTCGGACGAAATATGAAAGCGGGAAGTGACAGTAGAAATTGGCACTTTGACTACGCAAGTTTTCAAATGTTGTATGCAATTGAACAAGGATGTAGCAATATAAATGATTTTAGGAGGATTTAAACTGAAGATGATGAGATAGTACTTGACAATATTCTGTAGTTGTTGTACAGAGTAAAGCGTCTTAGATGAGAAGTATGTCTTCATGAAACAGCACTTCCAAATCAATGCGGACCTGGTACAACTCGGTAACGGCATTTTTCTTTCGATGAGCATGTGATGGTCACTATAACAAAATATGATTGCAAAATTTCCATCAATCAAGAATGATACATTCGGCGAGTTCGCAATGTTCGAAAGGGAACGTCGCATTCTTAGGTCTCTGCAGCTGTTTCTTGTAGGCAGTTGTTCTTGTCTCTACTCTTCTACCAGCGACTCGACCAATTAGTGTCGGATCCTCAACAGATACTTCTCATTGACGAGACTCACAAAAGTTGTAATGCTAATCGACGACGTCGCATGCTTGGGGGAAGAAAGTAAATGCAACTGTGATTCCTTTCTACTTTGAAGAAGACTGCCTACAACAAATCACTATTATTTGTGTCGCCAACATATTTAGCTTTGTACCTGATGCTTGTGAAATAGTTCAGCGAAACGAACGCCTTGAGAATCGAGGCACTGCCGATACTGAAAGGTTTGAGCTGTTAATTGAACAGAAACTCGTCCCAATTCTAGGGAATTATGAAGAGAAGGAGCCTCGTAGTGTTGTCATTTTGGATAACGCAACAATACACATGTCCGATCGAATTGAATATAGAAACGATGGAAACGCGAAAGTGCGCAAGCTTTGGATATCATATGAACCCAAACGACTCTTTCTGGTCCGACAATGGGCTAATACTCTACTGTAGCTACTAAAAATATGGTTACAGTTTTGCAAGCAGAGATTATCATTTTATACAGTTTCATGATGTCCTGTAGTTGTTGCTGTACATTGTAAAGAGCCTGGTATAAAAGACGCCGGAGTGTAGGTACGATTCCGGAAATATGTTCAAATCTCGTCCTTTCTCTACTCTTTAATCGAGAACAATGACTGAGTCAAATGATCATTTGGGGAGCGCGACAACATGCGCAAACTGTATTTCCGTTGTTCATCTTTCTCGCTTCTTTCGATGAGTATATGATCACTGCAACGAAAGATACCCTTGGCCACGAGCTCATAACTCAATGTCGCTGTCACCGGAGTCGCAGTCGCCGTCGAGTGTACTCCCCGTCTGCCTGCGTTTCTGCATCATCTCCGATAGGCAATCGCTGGTGTCTAGAAGTAGCTCGTTGGCTTGTCTTGCGGTGATCAAGGACCCTCTTCGCCTCGTAACACGAGGCTTGTTTGGGGAACCAGCAGGTTGAGGAGATCTCATGATTGCAAGAGCTCCATCAATCAATGGTTCATTTGAAGAGTTGGAAATGGAACTTCGCATTGAGTCTCTGCAGCTGTTTCTCGAAGGCAGTTGTTGTTGCCTGTTAGAGGTCGTAGTGGTGTGCTTGTTGTCCATACTACCCCGTCTGTTGAGATCCGTGCTACCGCGTCTGTTGTAGCTGTTCTTGTTGCTGGAAGACATGTTTGGAAATTGTTTGTTTTGCAAAATTGATTTTATGAAAATTCGAAATGTGACACCAACGCGATCCTCCCTGCAGTTTTATATTATTATTATGTTGGGCTCGTCAGTAATTAGGAACATGCCAGCCGGAGAAAACAAAGGAATTCCACCGCGAAGTCTATGAAACAGCATGAGGCTGTCGCCAAAAGGGCCAAACAAATAGCTTGTTTCGATAACGGAGAACAACAACAATTCATGGCTGACTAAGATGAAAAACTTTGCGAGATCAACTATTGATACCACGAAGTGACAAGCGCTTTTCGCTTTTTCATTTCATTTTGGTCTCGAGGAAATGCGAGCTTCAGGGACATAGTTGTTCTCCCCCAAACCGCTCTTCCTAGCTAGAAATATGGTTACAGTTTTGCAAAAGGTTATCATTTTATACAGATTTCATGATATTTCTATAGTTGTTGCTGTACATTCTTGTAAACAGTCTCGTGTAAAAGACGCTGAGTGTAGGCACTA